TACCTTAGACAGGTTAATCTCTATATGGAGGGAACAGAGGGATCATAAACACTGACATCCATATGATGTCTTTCTGGAGTCTTCCCATATTGAACCACATATTGGAACCCTCTCCCTGTTTAGAGCCAGAAAGAAGCCATAAATGATCCCACTTGTCCACAGCCCTTAGAAACTTGGGTCATAGATATCAGAACCTGACCAAATAATGAGGACTGAAAAAAATACATATGGAGGCAAAAATCACTTTATAATGTCAGTATGGAAGGAATTTTAGACATATACTAAAATTCCATATATTTGACTCCTTCAAATGTCTTTGGTGGGATTCAGAAGGCCCGGCGCTCTACATTTATAAGAAATATTTGGTAAGAAAAATATTAAACCAATTTCGAGAAGGCTTATAACATCTGTTTGATTTTAAGAAACTTAATCTCAGAAATCTCCAGTTTGTTTATTTATAAACCAACACGGGTTTACATAATTTTTACATTTCCTTCTAGCTACTTAAAAATGAAAGCAAATAAAACTTTTATTTACATCTTTATCGTCTATTATGCTTTAAACTGAGGGAGATTATAAATGCCTATTATATGCTCAGATACTAAAGAAGTGAATACTCTATCTTTTTCATATTACTCAGAATATGAGAAAATAACATAGACTTCCAATTTGGAAGAAGAAGAAAGCAAGAAAATTAGAGAGATCTTTTAAAAACTAGTGCAGAATTAAAAACTAATATTTGGAACTTATATTTTATGATTAAGACATGTATTTTACAAGTATTTATAAAGCTAATAAAAGGTAAACAGTGAGTTGTGTAATGTAGATATTAAATGTATAAATTTTATAATCTTAATAATATATACCATAAATGAAATATTACATTTCAGAATATAAATTATCAAAAAACAAAGAGCTCTCTTCCAGCATTAACTGTTTTAAAAAAACTAAACAAAATCATTTATAATGTACATTATAAGTACTTTTTCTTTTTTTTTAATTGAGACAGAGTCTCACTTTGTCATTCTTGGTAGAGTGCCATGGTGTCATAGCTCACAGCAACCTCAAGCTCTTGGGCTCAGCGACAATTCTCTTGCCTTAGCTTCCCTAGTAGCTAGGACTACAGGCACCACCACACTGGGCTATTTTTGGTTTAGCAGGCCAGGGCTGGGTGCAAACTCACCAGCCCCAGAGCAAGTGGCCAGTGCCCTAATCACTGACCTACAGGCTCCCAACCTCATGTTCTAATTTCTATCACCGGAGACAGATAAAGTTGGAACAGATATATTCTAAGAACCAACAGGATTTTCACTAAACCCTTTCTATCTAGAAGATAGACACTAAGGTTCATAAATCCACCCAAGGTCTTATTCCCCTAGTAGCTGTCCAAAAACAACCAGCGGCTTCTTAAGTTTATTCTTGTACTAGGTAGCACTGGACCCAAGGAAAGGACAGGCTTACTAAGGAGTAGCAGTGCTCTGGGAGGCCAAGCCTACGGGTTCCCTGGTCAGCACCCTCCCACACTCCAGTGCCTCTGCATCCTAGCTGGCAAACGACCGCCCATGTAACGAAGGTTTCATGGTGTTCATCTAACAAGAGAACTGTAGGCATGAATGGTAAGCACCCAATACACTCCCATCTCAATTCAAAAAGATCAGTGTGGAACTGTGCTATTCTCAAGGTGACCACAATTGCGAAGAAAATAACTGAAGTGGTAGAAGTCATCTCATGTGACAGAATCACTTAAAGTGATACTTGCAAAGAGAGGTGAGAGGAAAAGGAAGTTTGGATTGTTTTCCCTCTAAGGTAGTGTCTATACATGTATCATGGGGACAGATCCCCAGCATAATAGTACTTTGGCATTGGATGTCCCATTTTTGGAAAATTGCTAAAAATGTTTGTAATTTCATTAGGATGGAGAGAGAGGTTTGTAACCAGATTTAACCGTCTCACGTGAGTTGAATTGTTATATTCATGGAGGCTGATGGTGTCTTTATGTTCATATACTTCTTCTTGTAATCTAAAGGCATAATGAATACAATGAAATACATACCTTCTAAAATTTCGACTTGCTGATGAACCAGTAGCTGATTTATCTGTTAGTGAAAAAAGAAAATTAAATGTTAAACGTACGTCGTATGAAGGATTTTAAACCAATCACATTAATATTAATGTTTTATACTTTAAATGTATAAATAATTATCAATATTTAATGAACTTTTATTACCTTTTAGTATAAAAGTTACTATTTTTAATTGATAAAAATATTTATTAAAGGTTTCACAATTAGCGTGGGAAAGTTTTAGGTCAAATAAAATGGATTTATACTGAAATACCTATAAAAATTGGAAAAACCGATACAAATGGCCAACGAGGTTATGAAGACATGTTCAACATCAGTAATCACCAGGCAAATACAAATAAAATCCACAATGAGGTATCATCTCACTCGTGTAATCTTAGCACTGGGAGGCTGAGGCCAGACTGAGCTCAGGAGTTCCAGACCAGCCTGAGCAAGGGCAAGACCTGTCTCTGAAAATTACTGGGTGTTGTGGCAGGGACCTGTAGTCTCAACTACTTGTCAGGCTGAGGCAAGAGGATCTCTTGAGCCCACAGAGAGAGGTTGAGGTTGCTATGAACTATGATGCCAAGGCACTCTATCGAGGTTGACAAAGTAAGACTCTGTCTCAAACAAAACAAACAAAAAAACCTAAAAATAGAACTACCGTATCATCTAGCAATCCCACTGCTGAATGTATATATCAAGGAAAGGAAAACAGAATATCAAATAGCTACCTGTACTCCCATGTTTATTGTAATACTATTCATAATAACCAGGATATTGAACCAACTTAAAGGTTCATCAGCAGAAAAATGGTTTAAAAAATCCATTTTTTATTATACACACAATGGAATGTTATTCAGCCATAAAAACAATGACATCATGCCACTGGTAGCAACATGAATGAACTGAAGGACATTATGTTATGAGAAATTAGCCAGGTATAGGCCAGGCGTGGTGGCTCACGCCTATAATCACAGTACTCTGGGAGGCCGAGGCGGGTGGATTACCTGAGCAAATAAGTTCGAAGCCAGCCTGAGCCAGAGTAAGACCTCATCTCTAAGAAATAGTCAGGCAAGATGGCGGGAACCTATAGTCCCAGCTACTTGGAAGCTAAGGCAAAAAAGTTTCTTAAGCCCAAGAGTTTGAGTTTGCTGTGAGCTGTGATATCACAGCACACAACCAAGAAGAACAAAGTGAGACTTTCTCAAAAAAAATTTTTTTTATTATTTCAAATTGTAGGTTAATTTTTCAGTGCTAAGATTAAAGGGCCTAGGGTTCAAAACCAAAGTTCCAGAATTAAAAACCAGCTCTCCTTTCTTAGGTTTTTGTTATGTAACTTCTCTGGACCTCAGTTTCCTCTTCTGAAAAATGGAAATAATCCTAGCACGTATACATCACATTTTCTATAAGGATTACACCAGTTAGTTTATGTATTACACTTAGGACAAATATAAAGGAACTGTATTTACTAAATATTTGCAGTTGACAATTATCAGAGATCAAGTTCACAGAAAACACAATTTCCTAAGACATCTGTATTTTGCTTTGAAAGAGAACCTAATAAAAAAGTATCAAGAGTAATCTGTTATCAGGAAATTTTGTTTTACCATTTCAAACTCTGTTGAATTATTCACTTGTTAATCTGGTTAACTGGAGAACAGTTTTATTTTGTATGACAATTTATGTATTTGAAATTACCTGAGTTAAATATTCCAATCCAGGAGGACAATTTAATGGAGGGTGTGGTGCCTGCATCCATTGTCCCCCTGCAGGCCCACCTGGTTGATTATAGCCTGGCTGATTCAGAACAGGAAAGCCTGCTGGCCCAGCAGGAGGGACAGGGTAACCAGCCTGAGGCCCAGGGTATCCAGCCTCTGGGAATCCAATAGGTCCTGGAGGTCCTGAAATAGGAACAGGTGAAATAATTTGTAACTGCACAGAAAAAAAATCATCAACCCTTTTAGGATTAGCTCAGCTATCTACAAGCTGACTTCTCCTCTCAGAAATTCTCTATCTTAGGGATTAAGTTCATCGTCAGAGATTTTTCAATGAAGTTCCTCTCCACTTCTATTTTGAGAGTTGGCGGGCTGTGAATAGAGTTGGCCCATAGCCTTAAACCTCACCGTTATAAACGTGCCTGGAACACACGCTTTCATACCCGAGAAAATGAAACAACCATGATCTAAAGTCACCTATGGGAAGATTCTGGGCTGCCTTTGTGGAAAAGAGAGATGGTCTGGGTTAGAGGCCCAAAGTAAAGGCTTTGAGCCAGTACTTTTAGGGCCAAATACCCGGAAAAAGTGATGGTTCTAGAATTCTAACAAATGGCATATCCTATGTCTGGAAGTAAGGGAGGTTTTGTGTATTTGTCAGGATTGTAGGTGGGGACGACGCTGGTAAAATGGTAGAAGTCAGGAATGCTGCCTAACAACCTAAAATGCCCAGAACATTCCCTTAAGGACAAAGAATTGTTCGGACTAAAAGAGTATATTGTTGAGAAACCCTGATGTGGCGATAAAAGCATGTCATTTCTTCTAATACAGCCCAGATTTTTGTTTGGGTTAACAGTTTTCCTGGAGTTTTAGACCATACTGTATTTTTTTTATTTTACTTTATTATAATTATTATTATTTTAAGAAACAGAGTCTCACTTTATCACCCTCGGTAGAGTACTATGACATCACAGCTCACAGCAACCTCCAGCTCTTGGGCTTAGGTGATTCTCTTGCCTCAGCCTTTAGAGTAGCTGGGACTACAGGCGCCTGCACAACGCCCAGCTATTTTTTTTGTTGCAGTTTGGCCATGGCTGGGTTCAAACCTACTGCCCTCAGTATATGGGGCCAGCGCCCTACTCACTGAGCCACAGGCACCGCCCAACATGCTATATATTTTTTTATTCTTTCAAATTCTAAATTTTATTTAGATTTCTCTAACCTAAATAAAATTATGATATTTAGGTTAGAGATTTAAATTTCACAATTTAGCATTCTCTAGTCTGGAAGATATAATTTGAGAAGGAAGGCAGAGTACATAAGCAGAGATTCAATAAGCATACATACTTCATCTTCTCTCTGAATATGTCAGTACAATCAAGCTTTGTGAGCTTATTTCTGTAGTCCATAGAGTAGCAATACCACAAAAAGGGAATATAATTTCAAAGGACTAAATTTCTCAATATTTTAACATCAAAGGCCATATAAAATTTTATACTGAGAATAGGCAATTTACAAAAACTTTTAAATGGAGCATACAGTTAAACAAAGTTCACATACAATTAAAAATAAGGTTTATCTTGGTTCAGCACCTGTGCTCAGTGGTTAGGGCGCTGGCCACATACACTCAGATGATGGGTTCGAATCTAGCCAGGGCCTGCTAAACAACAATGACAACCACAACAAAAAATTAGCCAGGTGTTGTAGTGGGCACCTGTAGTCCCAGCTGCTTGGGAGATTAAGGCAAGAGAATTGCTCAAGCCCAAGAGTTTGAGGTTGCTGTGAGCTGTGATGCTACCATACTCTACTGAGGGCAATATAGTGAGACTCTGTCTCAAAAATAAAATAAAACAAGGCTTATAAAAACAGATTAAACCTCATGATATTATTATTATTTTTTGAAACAGAATCTCACTCTGTCATTCTGGATGGAGTATCATAGCATCATCACAGCTCCCAGCAAACTCAAACTCTTGGACTCCAGTGATCCTCTTGCCTCAGCCTTCCAAGTAGCTGGAACTACAGGTGCCCTCCACAACATCCAGTTGGTTTCTAATTTTTTTTTGAGACAGAGCCTCAAGCTATCACCCTAGGTAGAGTGCCTTGACATCACAGCTCACAGCAACCTCCAACTCCTGGGCTCAAGGGATTCTCCTGCCTCTGTCTCCCAAGTAGCTGGGATTATAGGTGCCTGCTGCAATGCCTGGCTATTTTTTGTTGTTGTTGTAGCCATCATTGTTGTTTGGCGACCCAGGCTGGATTCGAACCCCCCAGCTCAGGTCTACGTGGCTGGCGCCTTAGCTGCTTGAGCCACAGGCACCGAGCCTGTCTTCTACTTTTAGTTGAGATGGGGTCTCGCTCTTAGTCAGGCTGGTCTTGAACTTGTGAGCTCAAGCAATCCACCCACCCGTCCTGACCTCCCAGAGGGCTAGGATTACAGGTGTGAGCCACTGTGCCCCACCCCATTTCTAATTTTAAGTAATTTTGTCATTTTTCTAAGACTCACTGAACATAACACCAGCTACCACATGACTAAAAAAAAAACCAGAGATAGATTTCCTATGTTATCAAATGATTATGATTTTCAAAATAGATAGAAGCTCAATAAAATATTTTACTTTTATCTATATTTTGGGGTTTATAGACAGCATTTACTAAACATAATAAACTCACTACTCTTTTTATTAGCTTTCTTTTGCATTTTTTCTGTCCTTTATAAATAGAAATTTTTTTTCATGGAAAACAGGTAGTCTAGTCAAATTAAAAAAAAAAATCAAAAACAGCAAGGCTGGCTCGGCGCCTGTGGCTCAATCGGCTAAGGCGCCAGCCACATACACCTAAGGTGGAGGGTTCGAATCCCCAGCCCCAGCCCACCAAACAACAATGATGGCTGCAACCAAAAAATGGCCAGCGCTGTGGCGGGCGCCTGTAGTCCCAGCTACTTGGGAGGCTGAGGCAGGAGACTCACTTGAGCCCAGGAGTTGGAGGTTGCTGTGGGCTGTGCGGCCATGGCACTCTGCCCAGGGGGATAGCTTGAGGCTCCATCTCAAAAAAAAAAACAGCAAGGCTGCCAAAATTTTATTAATGCAATTTTGAGAAAAATAAGTACTAAGTAAAGACACGCATATTCCCATCCCCACCTCCATATCAATTGGTTAATTTTATCCTTTCTTCTTTAATCAAGTATCTTACCTTGGAACGCTGCTGATGGATTGTGAGGGGGATACCCAGGATGTGTTCCCGGATGAGGCCCGTTCACTTGCATGTCTGCAATTCAAAAAAAGGTAAATATATAAGTGCTGTTTTCAGAGCTAATTTGCAGTAGAGAATCTTGTTTCAATTTTTCTCTTTCAGATAAAGTGAGATCGCTGAGTTACTGAAGCTGAATTCGTAGTTTTCATATACGTTAGATGAATGCTCAGTTGCATGCTTTGATTTTGCTGGTATTACAGAAAAGGTAGTTTTAAAATCACATACAGACTATGAAGAAAGTGATAAATGAAACTAGTTGGATGTGAGTAATGGTAGGATTATGAGTGATTTAAAAGATATGCTCTATAAGTTTTTTAAAATATTTGAAGTGACGTATTACTTCTGCATTTCAGAATCTTTTTAGTACTTACTCTGGAAGTACACAAATAAGTATGAACCATACGAAATTTACAATATATGACTGATTGTGGCCTACAAACTCCATAATATTTAATTACAATAAACTAACATTAAACTTTGTTACCTGCTAATTAATTAATGCTGCTTGTGTAAAGTTAGTAGGTGCACCAATGATCCAACCTCCTCGTTCTTCCTACTCCTGTCTCTCCAGTCATTCACTCACCCACCACAGCCAGTCTCATCTAACTATTTACTGAGCCCCTGTGTCATCCTTGAGTTAAATTCTGGAGTTTCAGAGTCTTTGCATTCATACAACTTGTGGTCTAGCAGACTCTACACTTAACCTCCCCCTCTATTTCCTTATGGGCTACTAATTGTGAAGTCAAAATTTTTGTTTCTCTATCATGGAGACATGGCATCGATATAGAAGGTACGCTGGCTAAATTTCCAATCTGACAAATTTTTTGAATGTGTCTCTATTAAAACTTTCAAAGACCATTCACTCAGGAAGGCGAGATTGTGCACCATCCCCCTTCTACTTCAACTGGCTTCATGGTAACTTCAGCAGACTACAATCCCTGGAGACTGTAAATTCAATACTCTCTTACTCAAATGAAGACTTTCCCCTGCACAGACACTGCAGTATACCCCAATTTATCACAGACTCTGAAATAACGACAAGTATTGCAGCCCACATTCCCAACCCAAGTTGTAAACAACAGTTTCAGACTCAAGAACAGGACTCAAGTAAACATAGCAATTTTGACCTAAAGGTTTACCCTTAACTGATGGGACACATTTTGTCATCTCTTAATAGGCAGCATTGTTAAAACAATAGAAAATACACATATTTAGGAGCAGAGAGATTCAAAAAAATCAAGAGCTCATAAACTCTGAGATTTTGGTACAGGGCAATGATCCAGTTTTTGGAATGACAGGAAGAATTTATACAAAGAAAATAAGTGAATGGGCAGGAGTTCAAGTATACTAAAGAGTATATGAATAAGAGGTTGATTTCTGCATTTGAGAATGCAACTTAAAAGAACTTATAAAAATCATAGAACTATCACATTGTCTTAAAGATATTTAACTTTTACATCTCTCTCTATATGCATTTTATTTGCATATAGAGCACATATATATACACACACATACAATTATATACATAGCATTCAAAACGGAAGAGTTAAAAGTTAACTATAGGGCCAGGCACAGTGGTTCACGCCTATAACCCTGGCATTCTGGCCGAGGCGGGTGTACTGCCTGAGCTCACAGGTTTGAGAACAACCTGAGCCAGAGCGAGACTTCATCTCTAAAAACGGCCAGACGTTGTGGGAACCTGTAGTCCCAGCTACTTGGGAAGCCAAGGCAAGAGAATCACTTAAGCCCAAGAGTTTAAGGTGGCTGTGAGCTATGATGCCACAGCAATTTATGGAGGGCAACAGAGTGAGACTGTCTCAAAAAAAAAAAAAAGTAACTATGATCAAATGTCATATTTGAATGTTTGTTTTTAAATTGACTAAATGAATGTTTTTAAATTGAGTGTAAGCATCTTAATGCTTATCGCTAATAAAATAGCTTAATTCAATATAAATTTACATTTTAAAAGCCTTGATTTTTATAAATAAAAAGGTCACAAAACTTCACATGGAAAGAGTAAGGGGTCCAGTTCTAAAGATTATTTAACGTGTCTAGATAGCTGCCATTGCAGTGAGAGAGAAATAGTTTTTGACTATCTCAAAAAAAAAATAAAAGGGAGAATAAAGAAAAACATTTCATTAAACCATATTTCTATATTTTGGCTATGTAGTGTTTTTCTTTTTCCAAATCTTAAAATTTTTAAAAGACAAACTCTTTCATTATATGCTTGATAAATATCCATCTTTATCTTGAGAAAAAAATTACCATAATAATTGGCATTTGTTTAAACCTACATTACAGGTATATGTAATGAAATATACACCAGAATATGTAGCTGAGAACTTTGTTACAATGACTTGACATTTTAAAATTATTATCTGTTAATTAGCATGACTTGAATAATCTTTATGCATATAAAATGCACAGAAGAAAACTGTTCTGAATGGAATATAGTATATATTATACAATGTAGTTCCCAATAAACCTCAAATTTCTTTGCTTTCTCTGAGGTTTTCTTATTCTTTTCTTTTTTTTTTTTTTGGTGAGACAGAGCCTCACTTTGTCTCACTCAGTAAGAGTGCTGTGGCGTCACAGATCACAGCAACCTCCAACTCTTGAGCTCAAGCTCTCTTGCCTCAGCCTCCCAAGTAGCTGGGACTACAGGCACCTGCTACAAAAGAAAGATCTGATATTAACATTGTTTCCAAATGTACAGGTCTCTAAAACTACACAGGCACTCTCACAGGTCATTCCTCTTCATTTATCTAGTTAAGCCTTATCCAGTCACTGAAGCCCTTTGGACTTGACTCCACTCTCCTTAATGTATTTCTGAGTAGGAATTTAGAAGTTGTTGGTCAGCCCATGATGGTAAACATTTTCTAGGTCCTCGGAAAGAAGAGTCCAGTGAAGTAGAAAGGCATGAAGGAACATTGTGAGCCTAAGACCCCAAATAGTAACCAAACTAAAAAATGCAGACTTCACAACGTACACAACATAAAGGAAGCATGTAATCCAGTGGGCAGCCCTCGGGCTGGGCTCTGGGACTGAAATAGGAGGAGAGCAAGAAGGATTAATTTCAGGGCACACTACTACAATTATTTCTGAAAATCACAGGTCCCGTGGACCTGGTTTGCCCAACTTGAACAGCTCTGTCCTTTGCATCAACACATGCCAACAGCTTTTCAGTTGGCATTGCTGTGGCACCCAACATGCAAGTGGAACTTTGTACTTGATTATTTCTACAGAAACATAAATAACAATAAACATTCTACTCGGCTCGGCGCCTGTGGCTCAAGTGGCTAAGGCACCGGCCACATACACCTACGGTGGTAGGTTCGAATCCAGCCCGGGCCCGCCAAAACAACGATGGTAACCAAAAAATAGCCAGGTGTTGTGGCGGGCGCCTGTGGTCCCAGCTACTTGGGAGGCTGAGGCAAGACACTCGCTTGAGCCCAGGAGGAGGTTGCTGTGAGCTGTGATGCCATAGCACTCTACCCAGGGGGATAGCTTGAGGCTCTCTCTCAAAAAAAAAAAAAAAAAAAAAAAAAAATTCTACTCAATGCATCTGCCTTCCAATGCCTTGATCCCATTTTAGTTGTTCCCACAAGGAACTTTTGCTGTTTACTGTGGGTCCCACCCCCGTTCATGCCTGCTCATTACAGGAAACAGACCAGGCAAAGAACTCTTGTTGCACAGACTAGCCATGACCCTTCCCAGGCACATTCCAGTCTCGGCTGCCCTTCTAGCAACCACTGAGCATTCTCAAATGTTACCTAAGTCATCTGATCCCTCTATGACTGCAACTAAACCCTAGGGGTTCCTAAGGAAGAAACCACATTCTTCCTCTCTATTTCAAAATTATTTTTTTTATCATTTGCTGACCTTAAGCATAAAAATTCAAAATCTTGTGAAACTGTTAAGAATGTTTCACTTCTGAATTATATTGACTCAAGAAGTAAAGCAATGGTTGAGTAAGTCAAAATGGGTTTACGTGACCCTGGAATAAATCCAAAAATGTGTCATGTTACTGATTTAACTTCCTGAATTTTCTTAGAATAGGAACCAGGTTCGCATTGACCGGTCAGAAATCAGCCATGTGTTCAAGTCAGAAGGGCACAAATATTAAAATTTATATTTACTATAAACTTTTATATTTTCTGCCATTAATCTATAAAGTGATTAATAAGTTAATAAACATGTGCAAACAAGGTAGTCTAAAAGTTTTCAAAGCTATGTACATATTTTAGTTTCTATCATCTAAAGGACTATAAAAAGGGATAAATTTATACATACAAAAGGCCAGGTTATTTTTGTCAAATCCACACATCATTCATCATAGGATATTTGTGGGGAAGACAGAACAGCCCCCATGTGCTGAACACTAAAGATGCCCTGGGGCATGGGATGTGGGTATTAATAATGTTCACTTTACAGAGAAGGAATAGTAAGCCCCAAATTCATTAACTTTAAATGCATTCAGTGAGAACAGAGGAGAGCCAAAATTCAAATTTGAAAAAAAAAAATTAATACCCATTTTCTTTTTTTTTTTTT